CTATTGGAATACATAGAGAGGACAACTAGTTCAATCTTGAGGATATTAAATACAATTACTTAGGGAAAGTGATGGCATGATTGAAGGGAAAGTGAGAAACAAGAAACAGGTACATGAGAAATTAAGGATGGAGAAAAGGCAGATACATACAAGAGAGTTTGTCAGAGTTGACAAATAAAAGCCATCTCTGCATAGGAGAGAGAGGCCCCGAGATGTTTGGGTATTCAGCTTTTGTGGGGTAGCAGTTTAGAGTTGGTAGTTGTGGTGCTATCAGATAGGCTTGGTGGTGCTTGTGTCAGAGGTAGGCATGTGGAGAATAACATGGGATTGGCTTAGGTCTATGGCACCATGGGGCTTTCCACAGCAAAGGGGTCATGTCCTTCTGGGATTGGCTTAGGGTTATCATGGGGTAGGTCACTAATGAAGTGGGGGGAATTTGGGTAAGAGGAATTACAGAAAAGCGAAACTTTTCTCATAAGATGGCAGTTAACATTTAAGATGGGGGTTCCAATGTTAAATCAATACCCTATAATGATGAAACCAAAGTCAATGAGGAATTAGCTAGGGGAAAGTAGTTGAGGAGAGTGTACATGCTTTCCTCAAGAAACTCTTCCTGAAGAAAGAAAATGGCTTATCTTGGAAAATGAAAATGTAGTTCAATCTAAAGGGAACACAGAATCTCATGTGAAAATAAGCTGGAGAAGTGGGACTCAATGTAAATGGGCTTAAAATACTATTTCCTTCTGAAAATGCCTTAATTAAACAAGAAATAAAAACTGGAATCACATATCCAACTGCTTACTATTTAACTTAGTAAACTGAAGCACAGGGACTATTATGAGTATCAGTAAATAACTGTAATTATAGACAGTAGATTTTCCTGATATATAAAATGGTTATTCTTAATAGTTTAAAGAATTAAAGGGCATCAGTTTTACAATTAGCCATTGGAGAAATAGTATCTTAATGATACAACATAACTTATCTGGTAATATTACACAAGACTAGAAAAGTAACAAATAAATAGTAGTGAATAAAGAAAATACTGTATGGTAAAAGTAGTTTAAAATAACAGCCATTTCTCCAAATGAACACCACAAAAATGGTGTTAATGGTAAAAACAAGATATTGTTACTTTCAGCACTCACACATTCTATTATTTATTAGAACCTGAAAGAAACGTTCATTTTTGGACCAAATAACAAACAATACTATATATTACTGGAATTTTTAACTGCACTAAAAATTGAAAATGGAAATGCTAACTTCTTGGAGAACAATTCAATAGTATTGCATTGCCTTGTCATGAAGAATGTTTGTGCTTCCACAAAAAAAAAACTTCGGTTGTTAGGTGATGGGTGGCACCCAAGTTTTCCTCAAATGCTTCAGTTTCTTCATCTACAAAATGTGAGCTGTGGGCTAGCATGTGGATACGCAAAGGCTCCTCTTCTCACTGAGTTTAAAATGGGAGCCTCTATCAGTTCTTGCAGAAAAAGAATAATGACAACTTCAAAGCAATTCCTCTTTCGGCGACAGAAACCAATCTTCTTTCTTTTTTAATCTTCTCTTTATCGAACCTTCGTGGAAAAACTAAATTCAGGAGTAGTAAAAGTAACACTAAACTCTGGAAACCACGTGATGTCCTGTTGCTTCTGAAGCGCGACCAGCGGCAGATATGCACAAAGAGCAAGTATGAACTTCCAGGCACCCGTAGGTCAGAGTCTCCAAATCAGGGGCCGGAAGTGAGTGCTGACAGAGGCTTCCTTTCCGGGAACGCGAATTCCCAAAGTTCCCTTACTATCTTCAGGAAATTCTTGAGAGTT